AAGACTCGGCGAAGGAAGACCACAAAATTGGTTCCATCCAGTCCGTCTGCTAATCCAAGGACCCCGCCCGCCTCCCACAAATCCTGAGCCACTAGGCAAAGAAAGAAGAGATGCTCCAAAGATTCCAACTCTGCCCAGCAAACTAGGCAACGCCCAAGGACATGAACCTCCTTCTCACGTAAAGCCTCCGTAGTGGGCAAAATGCGGCTAAAAATCTGGCAGAGAAAGAATTTCAGCTTTGGTTGTACCTGCAGAGACCAAATGATCTTCCAAAGCTTCCTATCCATCCAACTGACATCCTCTTTCCATTTCGCCCACCAGCGGTGCCTACGGAACGCTAGATTATGTCTAGACTTGACCGTATAAGCGCCAGAAGGATCCTCTGTCCATATGAGTTTGTCTTTCACCTCCAAGCGGGGTAACATAATAGTTGTAATCCGTATGACCCATTGAGTAGGGAAGCAAGTTACCAGGCATTCCTCACACCATTTCCCCTCCCCTAGACAGATCAGAGTCGAAACTTATATTGTCCTAAGATGGGAGCCAAAGGCAATAGAAGAGGAGCCTCATGCTCCTTACCCGACACCCACAAGGCAGAGCCTATCTCTACGTTTTTTGTTATGGAATAACTAATAGTGAAGGAATTTTTTTTATAATGGCGATAAAATTATATTAACGGAGAAAAGAAAAACAAAAAACTGTACAAAAAGGAGATCATAAGAGCTGATCTCGCATCAAAACATGAAGGAAGTTCTTGCAATGGTACAACCACTAGGGATGATTAGGTCAGGTTCTGCGAATTCAAATTCATCCTAGAAAATGCGCCTGTTAAAAAACTCAATAATGAGTTTTGGAATAGAAAATTCAACCCAAGGAGTACTCCCTAAGTGTATTACCCATGACTTCAGTGATATAATGAAAAATATACATCTAAACACCCAATTTCTTATATTATCATAAATTTTCATCAACTATATTGTCATAACGACAAATAACATCCTTATTATTAGAACTATATATATCCATATGAGATTTAGATATGGGAGGCCACTTTACTTTATCAAAGTGTGTCGGTTGGAAAGCGAGCCAAATTTTGGCAAACCTCACACCTTACCAATCCACCAATTCCAAAAATGGGTAAAAACCAACTCACAACCGATCCTAAACCCGTTAACACAAAATTTTCCCAATTTCTCAGGAACAACTCAAGTTGGGTACCCCGAGTTCGATTTTAATTGCCATCACTAACAAACACCTAATCGTCAATTTGATTTCGTTTGCTATGCAAAGAGCAAACCATTCATTCTTTACTTCATTTCATTACTGGTCTAACAAAGTAACATGAATTCTCATCCTATGTCTTATACTCAGGGATCAAAGCAAGTCAAAGCGCTCAGAGCATACTTCCCATTGCGTTTTAGAAACTCGGTTAAACCTGAGCATTTTGCGATTTTACCAGAGTTAAGATATTTTGACGCGGTGGATATGGATATTGATCATGGAGACTTCACCAACATGTTTCCGAATTTAAGATGGCTTGCCTTGCACTCGCAATACTGCTACAATGATGATATTTTCCTCAGTTTCCATATGAGAAATTTGGTAATTCTTGATCTCCGTGGCTCCGAAAACATAGTGTCTGCACAAGGATGGAACCAAATCAAGGTTTGCTTATATGAAATATGCTCAATCACTTACTTACTTAATATAACTTTCATACTTTAATATTTTTACTATTATTTACGTATGCATATGCTATTTTACTGCAGCTGGCAAAGAAGTTGAAAGTTTTGGACCTTTCAGGTTGTTTCTCAATGTACATACTTCCTGAGTTCCCAACATCAGGGAGTCTAGAGATCCTAAGTATTTCTGGTTGTGGGAAGTGGGAGTACGATTCATGTCCAGAGATGGATATTCGAAACTTGTGGAACCTAAAAGTTTTGAATCTGAGTGATGCTAAACTGGAAGCTATCAATGGAGGAACCATTGGAATGCTGGAGCTACTTCAAGAGCTCGATCTCACTGACCTCAAGTGTAAGAATGCAGATGAAGCATTTGTTGATATTGGGACATTGCCATCTCTTAAGGTCTTGAAAACAATTGGAGCCGGTTATATTCTTTGGGAACCCGAGGAAGAGGAAGAAGAAGAAGAAGACCATGAAACAAGTCATGAGGAGGAGGAGTTGAACGAAGAAGAGACTAAAGATGTGATGATGGAGGTTCGGGTTGAAGAGACTACAAAAGATGTGTTAGCATTAGGGAAGCTTCCTACAAGTCTGAAGTTGCTACACACTTCGTCTCGAGTTGTTAATCTCCCAGAGCTATTGGAGCTGGAGGAATTACTCGTTCAAGATTGTGATTTCGGGCTCGAGATTCCTCCCGCAGATGAAAATACTAACATTTGGTGGAAGGTATCCAAATGGAAATCTCTAAGAATGAAAAGAACAAAGGTGGTCATCACAACAACAACGAGCAACCCTTGTGCTTCTTCTCTACCGTTGGTCCTGCTTCCATCATCTCTAACCAAAATCCACATCTCATATTGTCCGGAACTGGAGTGGCTCCCGATCCTAGAGAACCTCGAGAATTTGATCGAGCTAGTCGTCGAGAATTGTGACAGGTTGCAAGAGATTCGAGGCCTCGAAGGGCTGAAATCGCTGCGATCTCTCTTGATTACCAGCCACAATACTCTAACTCGGATTCATGGCCTCAAGAAACTCCTGCTCCACAACAATGTGCAAACGTTGCAGATTACGTATTGCCCTCTTCTCGCAGCTGTATTCCGTGATGATGATCATGATCAATCAACTATGGTCGTCGATTCCTTGCGAGAATTGTGCATCTACAAATGTAGGTCGTTGTTGCATGAGGGTGGCCGACTACCTCGTTTCTCGAGCTTCCCGAAGCTCATGTCTCTAGAACTAGGGGAGATAACTAGCATCGAAGACAATAATCCATTGCAGGTAATATTGATCAATCTTGTAACTTTCAAATCATGAACATGCATATTATAGGAATCTGTTTGCGGATATATATATATATATCAACAACTAACGTACGTTCATGCATGCATGCAGAAAGAGGAACTGGAACTACAGCTGGAGGGGATAGCGTGTTTGGAAGAGTTAGTTAAGCTGAAGCTGGACGACTTTCGATCAATAGAGAGACTTCCTTCACTTGCAAAACTGCGCAAGTTGGCGGATCTAGAGTTGTGGGATATTCCAAGGTTGTGTGAGATACAAGGCATCACTGATTTGAAGTGGTTGAAGACGTTAAGCCTTAGAGGATGCACAAATTTGACTTCTCATCATCTTTCCACTCTCAGGACTAGTCTACCGAACGCAAGCATAAGGTGGCCCACTAAAGAAATGCCATGATGATTGATGATAACCCATAATTTGCTTAGCAATGACAAGCAATTACTATTTGAAATATGTTAAAATTGATGTGTATATATATAAGTGTGAAATACAATCCCATATATGTTATTATTGCTACATATATTAGTATTGTGGCTGGTAAAAACATAAACAACAGGCAAACGATTTGCGTGGTATTCATGATTACATCACTAATCCATAGGAGAGTATAGAAAACTCTCACTCAGTCGAAGCTTGCATGCTTATGAAGATACATGAATTACGCATACATGCATTCTACATACGGTATAGAATGGATGGGTTGTACTGGGCTGAAATAACTGAAGACTTAGACTTTCTAACAGCTTCCCCAAATTAATGTTGGTCATGAAACATCAATTTGCTTGAGAGGAACCATAAACAACCCGATCATCAGAAGAAATGTAACAAGCGCGCACATTACCAGTGCAAACCAAACTGCGTACGTATTGAATGTGAACTTCAGTGTGTTTGGTACGATTATGAGAACTGGATTAACGGGAATCTAGATGACACTCGTATTGGCAATGTTATTATGACACTTGTATTTAGTAAATCATTGGTGAATTTTAAGCGACACAATGATTCAAAATTACACATATATACAATATCTTGATACACCTAATTAATGTATGTATTTGAAGTGTAAATAGTTCAAACTCTGAATTTGCAATCCACAAAATCTTTGGATACATATTTAATATTTTTCTACAGATGATACGCTCGAAGAGTGCATACCAATTAAGTTTTTAACTTCTACTGGTCATCCAAAGCAAACGCAGTATAGAATTTGCACAATGATCCGTAAAAATCGAGCTGATTGGAGCATCTTGCAATTGCATTTATGTAGTTTATTGCCAACCCAATTTTTTTTACCATCCATCTCATATTACTTAGTATTCACCTACATCAATGTAATTAACTTGTAATGGCATATGTAATTATATATTATGTTTAAATTATAAAAAAAATTGTAAAAGCGAGAAGAAAATAATATAAAATAAAGATCTCCATTTTTTAGGCGTGTTTTATTTGCATATGCAATTGCATTTGTTACAAGTTTGCAATTATGCAATTGGTAGCCACATTAATGCAATTGGTTTTGCAATTGCAAACACCAATTTCATATCATCCTGCAATTGAGAATGCAATACCAATGTGGATGCTCTAATCTCAATGCAATTGCAAAATCTATTGCATATGATTTTTTTATTGCTATCTCAAAATTCATGCAATCCAACTCAACTTTATATCATTAATTCACATCAATGCAATTCACTTGCAATTGCATATGAAGGTTTAAGTGATTTTATATTAAATTCAAGAGAGAGAGAGAAAATAAATTATTGTTTTATTATTTTCCTATGTGACTTTCATCTCAAATTTCATTTAATGCAAGCAATCATTTTTGCAATTATCCACTACATTGATGCAATTCTCTTTGCAATTGCATATTAAGTGTCATATAAGATATGCAATTGAAAAAATACCATCGATGAGGATGCTCTAAGGTTAACATTAATGATAAAACAAATTAAAATTATTATATTAGGTTCATTATGACTAAAACAGAAAGCAAGGGAAGACAATTTGCACCCAGGTACAAATCAAATTGAACCGCAGGGTAGTTGCAGGAGGGATACATGCAAGATAAACTCAGGGCAAATTATTGTCATTGTATGCAATAGGAATCAAGCACAATGGGCAATTCCTCCGTAATGTGATCCCAAACCGTTCCGACATATCTAGATCCTCCGGCTTCATATCTCCGGGGAGTTTCCAGTCAAAATGATAAAGCAAATTGGCCAGTCCGAATTTAACGATAGCCATCCCAAAAATCAATCCGGGACATATCCTCCTTCCCGCACCAAACGGAAGGAACTCAAAATCCCTCCCTTTGTAGTCGATCGAGCAATCGAGAAACCTTTCCGGATAGAATGTCTCGGGATCAGCCCAGTAACGCGAATCTCTCCCGATAGCCCAGACATTGACCATGACTTTGGTTTTGGCCGGGACCATGTACCCATCGACCACCACATCTTCTTGACTCTCTCTTGGAACAAGCAGAGGACTGACTGGGTGCAACCTGAAGGCCTCTTTGATGACCGCGTTCATGTACTTCAAGTCCTCGAGCCCTTCTTCGTCGAGGAATTTCCCTTTTCCGATCATCTTTTCTCGAACTTCTTTCTGCACCTTTTGCATCACTCTTGGATTCCTCATCAATTCCGCCATGATCCACTCCATTGTCACTATCAAAGTTCCGCTAGCAGCAAGGTACATCTCCTAACATCCAAATGTCCAAATTATTAAACCAACTAGTTAAACAAAGAATTGATCATCGATCTCATAGATAGATATACTTACGGTAGCAATTGCTTTGACATGTTCAACCGTCAACGGGGATTCGAGATCGGTACAATTTTCTTGGAGATCAAGAAGAACATCGACGAAATCATCTGTTGCTGTGGCTGCTTGATCACAGTTGGTGCTTTGTTTTTTCCCTGCCGCTCTTCTGGTTATGTGTTCGTTGACTATCTCCTCGAGCAAAGCATCCGCCTCCTCATGGAGGCGGGTGACTTTAGCCCGAAACCCGGTCAACGCGGGGAGGAACTTGATGGACGGGTATAAATCCGAGACGGTTAAACCACCGAGCATGTCCGAACCACTACTCACGGTTTGCATTAGAGACTCGGTTGTTTCCTTGACCGAACCGAAAGCCGACCTGGCGATCACCCGGTTCGTCACCCAGAACAGAATCTCCGCCAAGTTGATCACGGCCGACTCCTGCTGGCCGTCGGCGATCGACGAGATCCGACTCACCATATTACCTATTGGAGGAGAGAGAATACTCAGGTAAGGAAATAGGTTAGGTACGTAATTTAGCGAACAAAGAGATTGATCTAGTGAAAAAACAAGTGAAGAATTTAGGAATAACAGTTCCATCTAAATTCGTGGTTATTTTCTTATCCAACTGAATTGAATTGTGTTAAAAATCTAAAAATACAACGTAAATGAGTAGAGTTTGATGGTTATATAGTTAGACTTATTTATTTATGCGGAATCTAGAATTTTGACCATATTTATATGTAAATTATAATTTGGTAACCAAATTTAAAAGATATCTAAATTAACCTTTTGCATATAATTTCTAAAAATATTACATTTGACTCGCTAAAAATTTGTGGCTTACATTTTGATATCTAAATGTTTTAATTTTAACAATATGTGCAATTAAAACCATCTCAAGTAGATGAGCATCCATTCTCATTTTGAGTATGAAATCAATTCATGTAGTCAACTCAAACATATCTATAAAACTTCATACTCATATATAATCACTTATACTCTACACATAATCAACGAGTCCACTTAATTTTGGGTAAATTACTCGTGATGAATATTGAATAATTATCATCCCTACAGAAAATTGCAACTTCAAAAATATATGTATTACGTTTCGTAATTAATTGATAATACCTGAAAGCTCTTCCTCTCGGATGGAGCGGTAAGAGAGCACGCGCTTGTTGCCGAGCAGCTCCGTGGCGCTGACCTTGCGCATCAGCCGCCAGTACTCGCCGTACGGCGTGAACCCGATCCCCTTCTCGCCGTAGTAGAATATGTCGGCGGCCAGGACGTGGGGCCTCGACGCGAGCACCGCGTCGTGGGTCTTGAGCACGTCCGCCGCGGCCTCCTTCGACGTGACCACCACGTGGCGCAGCTCCCCGAGCTGGAGCTGCATCACGGGCCCGTACTTCCGGGCCATGTCCCGGAGCCGGCGGTGGACGGGCTCCGGCCCCGACAGCTGGTGGAGATTGCCCACGATCGGCAGCCTCCACGGCCCCGGCGGTAGCTTATGGTTCGAAGCCCTCTTCGACGACGACGATCTCTTCATCAGGATCGTCAGGCTGGTCGACAACGCGACGGCGAGGGTGAATGTGAGGAGGAAGGATAAGTACTGTTCCATTATTTTTTTCTGCCGATCTTATCGACTTATCTGGTAATTGCATGTGTATATATAGAAACTATGTAAATCCTGTAATTAAAATTTTGAAGTAGTTGACTGACATCTTTCTATTTGGCTGGCTACTAGCCAGCTGGAGGCTGGCATGTCCAGCGTTTCGTTATATATACATTGAACTGAATCCCAGCTATAAATTAGACGAGAAACGGAAAGAAGGGGCGTCCGTTACAAGTTGGATGTGGAGAATATTGGACGTTGGCTTAGCTGCGATGTGTCTCTGCATGCGCATGCATGGCTGCCACGTATGCATGGCCGGCCAGCAGAGAGAAACGTAAGAAGGGCCACAAAACTGAATGTCCGGCCGGTTCCATATATTGGTTGTTTTATTATCTCTTAACTGTACTAGAGTGTGTTTCGGTTTTCTAATGGAATCACTACGTACCTTACTCGAACTACTGTTAGATCCAACACAGATTGTAAATTATGTCAGTGTCTTGTGCGTAATATCAACGAAGTAATATAACTTTGTTGTGGAGAATTGTTTGATCTTCATTTGGAACAAATCAAGAGAACCGACGACTAATCACAATCAAAGTAAGCGCATAAATGTGAAGAGTATACGACATTTGTTAATGGGGTTCGGTTGTGGTGTAATGTTATACTTTTCGTCCAAAAATTGATTTTTCCTTGACGCCTGCATTCTAGGTTGATCTTATACGTACCCAATGGCAACAAATCTGAAGCTTCTACTTATACCCAAGCTCCAACTCACACCCAAACTTATAGAAGAGAACCAAAGAACCTGCGACGGAGATAGGTGAAAACTAGGAGGGTTGTAGCTCCCCTTAAGTTTAAAATCACTACGGAAAAATGGTTTCTTGCAACCCCAAAAGTGTGTTGCGTAAGGTCTTAAAAGAGTTGCAACTTCCTAACGCATCACTTTTACAAGAGTTGCATATAGTGGGGACACTGCAGGGGATATTAGGACGGTCTCAGATTTTAATTCGGGGGTCGTTCGTGAAATTGACGTTTTAGTACAGGAGGCTAAAATCGGTGTTTGAACGACCAGAACTGGTGAGGGATTAGCACGGCATACCGGGTTTGTCGTATCACAATAATTATATATTGATGCTTAGAATTGACCTAGGTGAACTAGAATGGCATGATTAGGGGTGTATGAACTTTTGTGCTATATGATGAACCATGGACTGTTGTATGATATTATTGACTTGCTCTAATCGATATGGACCTTGTTTATGCTGATGATTTCGTATATGTTGCAAATTGTGGGCTTGATTTTTGATATGCCTTATGATGGTTCGAGAAGGTGATTGGGTATGATTTTTCATGATTGATGTATTTGGATGTACAAGTGGGAAAATATATATCCCATGGTGATATTTTGATGTTATAGGAGGATGACTTGCACGAGGGTTCATCCCGAGGAAGTGCAATTATACGACTCATATTTTACCTATGTTGAGCCAATTATGGTCAGGTTAAGTACATGTGCAAGTAATGAATTATGATTAAGCAAGATGAGATATGAATCATGTATAAGGATACCAAGTAAGAGTATTTTGGTCTCATGGTCAATTGCATAGTAATTAGGGCTCCCCATGCTATTACTCTATTATGACATGCTAGTCACACCTCTCTTGTGGTGCTGACTGAAGATTATGATATGCATGATAGTCACACGTCTCATGTGGTGGTGACTGAAGATTATTCACCAGATATGACCACACCCAGAGTGGTGTCGGTATGACTTCACCTATGGTGGTATGGGGGTATGTATGTATGATCACATCCTACGTGATGTTGAGTGTGCATGGTGGCCCGGGAGAGTTATTAGCATGGGAGTAGCCAGACTCCTATGATTAAAACATGATAAGATGCATATGCATAAGTCATGGTGGTTGAGTCTTTTGCCTATCGGGATGTCGGATGGTTGATGTCTCATCCTAGTGTTTTGGCTTGATTGTTAGATGTATGGTAGGGGTATGCTTGTTATGAACTCACGATGCAATGATTGTCTCACTCAGCCATGAGCTGACCCTCTTTATCTTTTTTCTCTGCTTATGCCATGTGTAAGCAGTTCATCATCAGCAGCTGCAGTAGATAGGTGTATAGGTGGGAGCTGAGCAAGAGCTGAAGGCAAGATGAGGTATGGTCTTCAACTATTCTGTGCTTGGACTACTACTCGGGATTTTGGTCAGTGATCCACACCTTTTCGTAAAAATGTTTTGAGAACGTTTTTCATGTGCATACTAGCTTCTTATTTAGTGTGAGATATCCACAGGTGTGGAAAGTTGATGATATGTGTATATTTGTGTAATTGTGTAAGTTGTGATGAGTATGGTATGCAGTTGTGGAGTATGAAAACTGTGACTATGGCTATGAAAGTCAATGTATATGGTTATGTGTATGTCTATGGATGCAGGGATTCCGATGCATTATTTTGCAAGATTTAGTTACAAGAACTGTTTGCCCATTACGCGAGTAATTCATGTTGAAATTTTATTTGGGTAAATTTGGTAATTAATGTAACACCAGTTTTAAATTCCGCTGCAATTGTATGAATAATATGATTAGGCAAAACGTGCAGGGTAGGGTGTTACAAAAGGAGGGGAAAGGGTTAGGTTCTTCTCGTCGGAAGCAGAGACGAGCAAGGCGGTGGGTTTCTTGGCGGGGCCTGGGGCTCGAACGGGGAGGAGTTCGCCAGCTGGAGGTGGGTTTCGCTATTTTGGGAAAAGGGGTTTGGATTTCGACGGATGAGAGCAAAGACGGGGACTGGTTATTAGGGTTTAGGTTAATTAAGGGCGAAGGGGGTGGATTTTTCACTTGCAGCAGGCCAAAAATTTTGAGAACAGAAATGGGGCGGTCAAACTTATTGGAGGCAAATGTTGGAGCCAATTCTACAAAAAGAAGTGAAAATTTTGGAGCCCTCTAGAGCCAAAGTGAATTCGAAGCAAAGTGAATTCGCCCTCCAAGAATTTTAAAAATTTGTTGCTAAAGAAATTGCTAATTGTTAAATTGTTATTATATTTAAGCAATAGATATAACCTATAAATATTTAAGCAAAAGATTTAGCAACCCAAAAATTAATTGTGATTATGTGTTACGAATAACAGAGCAAATATAACATATAATTGATTTGAGATGCATAAACTACTGAATAAGCAACTTTAAAAACAAGTGTTCCTATTGTATATCTAAGACAACTTTTTCATCCTGTGTTGCAATCTGAGTGTTGCAAGAGGGTCTTTTACGCAACTCCAAAAAAAGGGTTGCTATTGTATATCTAAGGCAACTCTTTCACAAAGTGTTGCAAGAAGGTCTTTTTCACGTATATAGGTAAAATTTATAAATTTTGTACAAATTTAAGAATTTAAGAATTATAATAGTAAGCAAGGTTTTAGCAACCTTCCTCCTCCAATTATGACAATTTAAATCAGGCTCTTCATTCAAATTTCTAGCTCCACCTTCTTCTGTTAAATTCTTTTCATGCGTACACGATGTTTACGTTTTGATATCTCATGTTTATAGTGGGGATTGAACACAATTAATACTTATCATTCGAATTTCTGGCTCTATCTTCTTCTTTTAAATTCTTTTCATATAATTTAATGCATACACGATACTACGTCCTTATATCTGATGCTTATACTGGGGATTGAGCACAACATTTATCAATAATATAAGATTGTTTTGTCACTACACTATAATTCATTACATGTTCTTAAATCGACATAAAACTAATTCATTATACTATAAATAAAATCCCAATTGAAATAAACACCTAATCGAATATTTTCCCGCTTAGACCTATTCGATTTTAGGATAATTTTAGTTTTAATTATATTTATTAATAATTATTTAATAAAAAGAGGACAAATCAAATAGTTTCAAATAGGGGTGTCAAAGTGAGCCCGTTGGGTTGAATCGGGTTGCACATTTATGTCATTTCCATGGTTGTCACACTGGCAGGCGTGCCACTGGTTGAACCTGGTTCGACCGATAACGATCATAAAACCAGCGTGACACCACCGGTATGACCAGCATGATCGATATATGAAACTCTAAATTATATGGCCTTATTTTAGTGAATTTAATTGATAAAAATTATTTTATTATTTATTTTATGAGTATAAAAGCTAAATATTGATGTTATTTGTTGGATTCAAGTATAAATGTTTAGGTATTGACGTTAAATGTCATGTTTAAATAAATCTTCTATGGTAATTACTTCTTTATCCTTGAATGTTAAACTATGATGACTATTGGTCAAAGCGTAGTTTATTTGATATGTTACTGAAAATGGTTTACTATTTTCTCTCATAAAATTGTCTCTTTTAAGTTCATATTTTATAATTATTGAGGAATCAAGATTTCCGTCTGTTAGACTTAAACCTTGTTGTAAATTAATATCAAATTTAATTATTCCTACTCCTAAATTTCCTTGTCCTTTTGCTATTATGCTTTCTTCATTGTTAATGAGTCTGTCATCTCTTATTTCTAGTTCTATTGGCGCACTTATTCTTGTTTTCATTATTGATTTAAAAATAATTTGTATCGTACTAATATGAATATAAGCTATTCTATTTCGTTCTTCCTGTTGTAGTTTTGATAACTTTTTTCTAATTTGTTCCTTATTTATTATTTGGATTAGAAAATCTCCTTTGGTTTGTTCTATTGGTATAGTTGTTTCTCCTATCATCTTTCCATATTTAATCATATTTTTTCTATCAAATAATTTAGATAAAAATGACTTAGTGATGAAATTTTGGGTTTCTGATAAAGTAAAATTAGTTTGCTCTTTTATTTTTTTATATCTACGATATCGTCAAATAATTTTCTTCTTCATTCTTGTTTAAATAATCAAAATGATTTTTACTAGTACTAGGGTTGTCAGACATACCTGATTCTTGTTAGTTGAAATGATTTGATTCCTTGTTTCTTAGCGTCTTCATGGTGATGTTATGTGAAGAATACTGGAGATGATCGTTAGAGTTATGTTTAGGAATTTTTTGTAGGTCTGATGATTTTGTTGTGTGGTATTTTTGGTAGGGGATAAGAGTGTCTCCAGAGTATTACCTCAAACACTCAGTGCCTAAGCACCTCAAGACGAAGTCTTGGTTTTTGAGAGAAATCTCAACTCTACTCGTTTATTCTCTGCCCTCCTTATGAGGGATATGATACATATTTATAGCAGGTCTTAGCCTGCTTCTACGTAAGAGCTTACATCACCTTCCAACAGGTGAGAAAACAAACAAACAAACATTTTACAAAGCTAGATAGTTACATTTGTGCAGAGGAAATGAAGGTAGGAGCGTTCATCTTTTTAGTGGGGTGACTATTCCTTGTCTTCTTCTATTCCTTTTTCTTAGTGGGGTGAGTCATCCCTGATTCCTTGTCTATTCCTCTCCATTATTGCTGCTAGTGGTGGTGATCATGTCTGTTGCACAGTTGATACATATATGGTCTTCGTGGAGCTGCAATAATTCGCACAGTTGTCTCTTCTGTTCTGTTGGTAATGGGGGCCAATGTTCCTTCTAGATTGATGAAATCTTTTGTAAAATTTGTAATTATGTCCCATTCTTCCTTAGTGGATTGTGCCTTGGAGTTGTTGATGATCACCTTATTTTCACTTCCGTAATTGACCTTGATATTATCCGTTGGTTTGATGTAATGGATAGCTTGGCATACTGAGAATAATGATTTTACCTGATGATCTTATGGTATTTTAGCTGTCTTCAATTCATCCCTTGTTGGATATTTTCCATTCGAGACTCCCATTCTGATGAGGGCCTTCGATGGTATAATCATTTCTCCTTCTTGGCTGAATATCGGATAACTGGATGTATACTTTAGATAGATTTCTCTATCTTTGGCAAAGAACCTAAGATAGTTTTGAACAACCATCTTGAATTTAATGGGAAATTCGTCGCGGACGTCAACCTTCTTAGTGTAAATAGTATCCAATAATCCATATTGGAGAAGAGCGAATACTGTTGCTGGTGAGGCCTCCTCTGTGACTACAGCCTTTGGTCCTCCTTTGAATGTTGGGTAAAAACCCATGGTAGTATGTATTTCTTCATAGTTGATAAGATCATTCCAACATTGTTGAACTTTTTATAGTGTAGGTTTTTTGGCTTCTTCTTTTTCCTTTGTAGTCTGGATATTTCTGATGTTGATACCAGGAATCCTCATTATTAGTCATTGTTGTAGAGCGACCAGCTCATTCGTTTTCTTCATGGTAAGAGCTTTGTATGATTCGTCAAGTGCTTGATCTGCTTCTTCCTTCGTTTTGAATGACTGATGTTTAACATTATGACCGATAATATGCTGAGCAGCTATTTCCCAATTGGTATAAACTCCTCGAAATGGTCCATCATAAATGACATACCATTTTCCATTTTTTGACTTTCTTTCATCTTCTTCATATTTTTCATCTTCTTCTACCAGATCTGCCCATTTTGTGGATGATGATGCTGATTTCTCTTGTTGTATTTCTGGCTGAGTTTTACCATTAATTTGTTGTTGAAGAATTGTGATGGTGGTTTTGAGCTGTTCTAGTTCCCCCCGCCTTAGAGAAAGCTGAGTTTCAAGAGATCGTATTTGTTCTTCCTTTTGTTGTTGTTGATTCTGCATCTGCTTGATTATTCCCTCCATTCTCTTGTAAGGGTTAGGGATGGCAATGGGTAGGGTCGGGTGCGGGTTTACCCTATACCAACTCCTAACCCGCCGGGTAGAGCCTTCTAAAATACCCGACCAAATAACCACCGGGTATGAAAATTATATAACCATACCCTACCCACCGGGTAACCACGGGTATTCGGGTAACCATGGGTACGAATCCTAAACTATGAACTTATACACATATATGCACATACATACTATTGTCCATTAAAAATTTTCAATACTTGTAATTGTTCTAGCTTCAACAATCCGCACAAATAAAAACAACAAACACATAATAATTGTTCTTGCTTCTATAATCCACACAAACATAATAATCGTCTACATCTTCATCATCAATAATGGTAGCTAAACTCAATTTCTCAAGCTAAACTAAATTTCTCAAGAGAAATTGACCCTTTGGTTAGCGGGGCGGGTATAACGGGGCGGGTATTATCGATTACCATACCCGCACCCTACCATTTATTTTGAAACTGGGTATTACCCGTACCCGCCCCTTAACCCGTCAAAGCGGGTAATTATCCTTGTTGACCAGTTACGGTCGGGTAGGGTACCCATGGTTACGGGTTGGATTGACATCCCTAGTAAGGGTGTCGGCCAGAGGGTTGGCTGTTGACTTAATATACTTCAGATATGGCTTGTAATAGTGTAACTGTTGTTGCCAACGGATTAATCTTCCTTTGTTAAAGTCTGCTTCAAGTTTGTATCTCCAGAAACCTGTAACATATATGGAGTCGGTTCGTAACTCAAATCTGCTGATTAACAATTCGAGTTTCCATTTCTTCAATGTCCGTAGGCAAGCTAGTGTTTCTAGCTCATGAATTGGATAGTTTTTCTCTGTATAAGAGAATGTTCCTGAAATATATTTACATAGATTTTTTGGATACTTGTCTGTATTAAAAGGTACTGAGTAGTCTGTAGAATCTTTCGATTCTTTACTGGTTTTAGAGAGTAATTTATCATAGTGGTTGGTAGATGAATCATTCGACTCATTTTGAGATAGTAAATTGCCATAGTGATCAAGAGATAGTAATTTTTTTCCTTCGGGAATTGCGAGCATACAACCTGCCCATGTATCCTTGGATGCATCTGTTTCAACTATGAGAAAGTCGCGATCACATGGGTTATATAATTTAGGTAAATGATCACAACTAGCTTTCATGAATTTTACTACCTCTGTATCTTTATCTTCCCATTTCCAAGGTATCTTATCTTATATGTTTTGCTGAAGGTGTTTTCGTTCTTTTGCTAAGTTTTTTAGAAATCCTTGTTCGCTAATATAATTTAAACTTCCTAAGAATCTTTGTATTTGTTTTCTATTTTCCATTTTATCGGGAAATTTATCTAGTTTTTCTTTAACATTGGTGGTTAATTCTATTTCTCATGTACTATTTATTTTTAGTCCTAGGTATTCAATTTCATTAACTAATAGTTTAGATTTCTTTTTTGAAATTACTAGTCCTTTTTCTTTTATTCTTTCTAATACTTTTATTAGTTTTTCTTCATGATCTTTCCTATCTTTATTTGAGAAGATAATGATATTGTCAATATATGCTAGGCAAAAATCTTGTAATCCTTCTAAATTTTTATCCATAAATCTTTGATAAATTCCTGGTGCCTGTTTAAGTCCGAATGGTACGACATTCCACTCATAGTGTTTTTGAGGTGGACATGAAAAAACTGTTAAAGGCTTTGTGTTTTCGTGTAGACGTAATTGCCAATATCCTGATTTTGCGTCTAAACTACTAAACCATGTTTGATCCTTTAATCGTTCTAATATATAGTCTTTTCTAGGTAGTTTATAACTATCTCCTATTGTTTGTTCATTTAGTTTTTTATAATTTATTATCATACGTCTCTTTCCTCTTTTTACCTCATTATTATTTTCTACATAAAACGCCGGAGCGCTATGAGGACTCTTACTTTCTCTTATGATATTTTTATTAACTCTTTACATTCTTCTTGAAATTCTTCTACATCTCGTTGTGTATATTGGATTTTATTTGGGACATTAACCTCTATATTTGGATCTTTTAGTTTAATTTCTATTAATTCTGAATTTGTATTTTTTATACTGTCTAACGGGTGTTCACTACATACTTCTTCTAGTTTTTCTTCAACTATTCCATAGGCTACTTGGATATATTCAAGCCTATTTTTTAATTTTTGTAGAACTATTTTTAGTACTTCATTTTTTTTATAATTTTAGTTGTAAAGATTTTTTATTCTTGGTTTTTTCATTCTGGGTGCTCGGAGACTAATATTTTTAATTCTTTGGGTAAAAGGTTGGTATAACTTAAGGAAATTATTTCCTATTATTAAATCTAATCCCGAATAATGTAAATATATTGTTTTAGCAGTGAAAACGTATTGTTCTATAATGATGGGTACATAATTTTTTACATACCAGATCTCATGTATCGATTTATCTGCGACTACAATTTTTAGAGGTTTGTCTAATTTTTCCCAATTTTTAATGGTTGTCCTTTTTGCAAAACAAAGTGTTGCTCCTGTATCTATATATGCTAGAAAATCTTTATTTTCAATGGTGACTTTTATAAATGTTGCATTTGGATTACTTTTAGTTAGTATCTTCTTCTGACTCATCTGAAGATACCTCTAAATCTGTAAGGTATTCAATTATATCTATATCTGCTATTTCAAAATCTGTTTCCTCTATAGGTTCAAATCCGCAATCAAAAACTATTCTTAGCACTTCTTGCTTCTTATTATTAGCGTTTTTCTTTGGACATTTATTAGCATAGTGTCCTTCTTCATTACAAAGCCAACATCTACAATTTGGTTTACCTTTAGGACAATAATCTTTATTTCTTGTTTTTTGTTTATATTGTTTTCTATTTCTGAAATATTGATTAGAATTTCTGCTTTTTTCTATATTCTTTATAAGGTATTTTTCGCCATTTTTTATACCTTTCATATTTTCTTTTTTCTTTATCCTTTGGTTTTCACTGTTACATCCGTATTTTCCTATTTTATCTGAGAAATCTTCACAACAAAGATCAATTTTTGCTTGTT